AAAAAAAAAAAAAAAGAAAGAATGTGTAACATGAAAGAAAATATAATGTTTTATTGGTCCAAATATGGATGAATGTATGTATGTTTCAGGACTCTATTCTGTACAGTTCATAGATTTTTCTATCACATCCATACCACACTATCTTAATTCCTGTAACTCCATAATGTTTTCTATCTAGGAAAAGTACTCTTCATTCTTCAAGAAGAAGTCTCTCTTCCCATTTCTATATTAAATTTACAATAAAGCTGTTAATTTTTCTCTCTAGCTCTCTCACTCACACGTGCACATGTGTACACACACACACATGCAGTCTTCTGAGAGTTTGGTTGAAACTGCACTGAACTTATAGATAAACCTGGGAAGAAATGACATTTTTATAATCCTTTTGTTGTTGTTGTTGTTGTTATGTGCCGTCGAGTTATAATCCTGAGCTTTCCAATCCATGGACATAGATTATTCCTTATTTTCTCACAAATATGATTCATAATTTCCTACTTGAAGATTTTATAGAATTATTGTTAGATTTATTTCTATGTGTTGATTTTATGATGCCTTTGTAAACGGTGATGGCCTAGTGCCTAAAATATTTGACTGCTAACCAGAAGGCTGGAGGTTCAAACTCACCAGCCACTCCTCGGATAGAAGATTGGGCAATCTATGTCCATGGAGATACTGCCTCGGAAACCCAAGGAGGAGTTGCTATGAGTCAAATCAGCTCGATGGCAGTGAGTTTGGATTTTTGTTATTTTTTTTGTAAATGGTATTTTTAAAAAACTATATTATTCTGATTGTTATTGTTATACAGAAATGAAATAGAATTTTTGAATATCAATCTTATATCCAGTAATCCCATTAAATTCACTTTTAAAAATTGATCTGTAATACTCTAAACTCCTGCAGTGAACAAAGTTAGTTATAAACCACTCCCCCCTACCAAAAAAAAAAAAAAAAATCCACTGCCATGAAGTTGATTCCAACTTGTAGGACCCTGTAGGACAAACTAGAACCATTTCTTAGGGTTTCCAAAGGTGTAAATCTTTATAGAAGCAGACTGTCACATCTTACCTCTTGAGGAGTGGCTGATGGGTTTGAACAACTGACCTTTCGGTTAGCAGGTAAGTGTTTTAACTACTCACCAGGGGTTGCACCAGAGGTGCAACCAGGGGTCCTTATGTTAGGAATGAAAGTATATTAAGATTACAACTGTTCATGTTAGATTAGAACATCTGGAGTATTGGCCTGTTGTTGTTAGGTGCTGTCAAGTTGGCTCTGACTCATTGTGACTATCTAAAACAGAACAAAACACTGCCTGGTCCTGCGCCAGCCTCACAATACTTGCTATACCTGAGCCCATTATTGCAGTCACTATGTCAATTCATCTTGTTGTAGGCCTTCCCCTTTTTCACTGACCCTCCAGTTTACCTAGCATGATATCCTTTTCCAGGAAATGGTCCTTTCTGACAACATGACCAAAGTAGGTCAGATGAAGTCTGGCCATTCTTGTTTCCAACGAGCACTCTGGCTGCATTTCTTGCAGGACAGATTTGTTAGCTCTTCTGGCAGTCCATGGTACTTTCAGTACTATTCACCAACACCACAACTCAAAAGCATCAACCTTGGTCCTCCTTATCCACTGCCCACTTTTCACATGCTTATGAGGCTATTCAAAATATCATGGCTTGGGTTAGGTGTATCTTGGTCTCCAAAGAGATATCTTTGCTCTTCAATAGGTGAAAGAGGTCTTTTACAACACATTTGTTCAGTGCAATACAATGTCTGATTTCTTGACTGATGCTTCCATTAGTGTTGATTGTGGATCCAAGTAATATGAAATCTTGGACAGCTTCAATCTTTTCTCCATTTATCATGATGCTGCTTATTGGTTCCACTGCAAAGCTTTTTATTTTCTTTATGTTGAGGTGTAATCCATACTGTAGTCTTTAATCTTCATCAATAAGTGCTTTAATCATCTTCACTTTCAGCAAGCAAGGTTGTGTTGTCTGCATATCGCACATTGTTAATGAGTCTTCCTCCAATCCGGATGCCATGTTCTTCTTAATATAGTCCAGTTTCTCAGGTTATTTGCTGAGCATACAGATTGAGTAAGAATGGTCAAAGGATACAACCTTGACACTGTCTTCCTGATTTTAAACCATGCAGTATACCTTTGTTTTGTTCGAATGACAGCCTCCTGGTCTATATACAGGCTCCTCGTGAGCACAATTAAGTGTTCTGGAATTCCCACTCTTCTCGATGTTATCCATAATTTGTTATGATCTACACAGTCAAATGCTTTTACATAATCAATAAAACTTGAGTAAACATCTTTCTGGTATTCTTTGCTTTGAGCCAAGATCCATCTGATACCAGCAATAACAGCCCTTGTTCCATGTCCTCTTCTGAATTCAGCTTGCATTTTTGGAAGTTCCCTGTCAATATACTGCTGCCATTGTTTTAGAATTATCTTCAGCAAGATTTTACTGGAGTGTGATATTAATAGTATTGTTCTATAATTTCCACATTCTGTGGGATCACCTTTCTTTGGAATGGATACAAATATGGATCTCTTCCAGTCAGTTGGCCAGGTAGTCTTTCAAATTTCTTGGCATGGATGAGTAAGTGCCTCCAGAGTGGCATAACTTGTTGAAACCTCTCCAGGGGTATTCCACCAATTCCTGGAACCTTGTTTTTCACCAATTCCTTCAGTGCAGCTTCAACTTCTTCCTTCAATACCATTGGTTTTTGATATCATGCCACCTCCTGAAATAGATGAACATTGACTGATTCTTTTTGGTACTGTGACTCTGTGTATTCCTTCCATCTTCTTTCGATGTTTGCTGCATCAGTCAATATTTTAGCCATAGACTCTTTTAATACTGTAACTCGAGGTTTGAACTTTTTCTTCAGTTCCTTCAGCTTGAGAAAATTCTTTGAGAAGTGGATATCCCCTTCCTTCTTCCAAGTTTGTCTTAGTCTGGAAGCTCCACTGGAACCTGTCCAGCATGTGTGACCCTGCTGGTATTTGATATACTGGTAGCATAGCCTCCAGCCTCACAGCAACACACAAGCCACCACGGTACAACAAACTGAGAGATGAGTGGTGACTACTGGCCTTAGTGTAACAGAATTCAACAGGCACCCAATGAATAAAGAACACGCTTATTTTCCAAGCTCAGAAAATATCTATTTCACATCCCTGCTTTCCCAACCCCCCATATATAGAGAGAAAAGAATGATGGATTTTGTCCAAATTATATTTGCATGTCTATTTCTCTTTGTTCAAGCATGAAAGAAAACAAAAGACTAGTTGAAATGATAAATTTTATTTGCTTCTCTGAACATTTTATTCTTCTGATGACATCACCATTGATGGTATCTCATGCATTTTCTCCTAGAAGACCTCCTCTTCCCACTTTCTTATTCTTTCTCTCAAATTTTCCTCCTTCCAAGGCTTACCAAGAAGTTACGAGTGTCCAGGATAGCTCACTTCTTGATGACAAAACCATCACCTCTTACAGGGAGATAAATCTGGGGTTGGAACCCAGGACTGGTTTGATTGCATTAAAATCAACAGAGACTGCAACAGCCCTAAAACCTATCATCGAACCCAAAGAACTGACACAAAATAAAGGATTAGAGCTTTTGGTTCTGTCTTCAGCAATATTTATTGGAAACAGCGATGCTTCCCATGGTAAGAGTGTATACAATAAGCAGTTAAGGTTTGCCTTTCACTCCACATGATCCACTACCGCAGGTAGCACATCTGAAGCAGCACATTAACCTCTGAGAGAGTCTGTACAGCTAGATAAATAGAACTCTGGGTAACTAACAGGACTTTAATGACTGATATGAAAGAAAATACTGATAGGTATACACACAGCACTGTATACAAAATGAATGAAGATGGGGTAGAAGGGACAGAAATAAAAATAATGACTGTATTGGGGAAGAGTTTTGCATCTGCAGCTACACATCTTAAACTGCTAAGCACAAAAGTTATCTTTATTTGGTCCTCATTGAGGGCAGAATATGCACAAATGATGTTCAAAGAACACAAGCTAAAAGTGGAAAGGAAAACATTTACTGTTTCTTGGTCTATGAATTAGTGTGAAAATGGTTTCTAGTGTTTTGTTTTTTCCTTGTGTCTCTATGCCAAATGGATTCATGAAACACTCAATAAATAAATACAACTGAAGTGAAGAGATGGTTCCCCTTCCCTGTAAGCTTCAGAAATGTTTCTACAGAGAAAGAAACTGAAGTTTAGAATCCAGATCTCTTCCCAAGTCCTCATAAGGAATAATTTCCTCTTTCCAGCTCCTCCCAGAATATGCTGATTGCTAATCATTTTACTTAGAAATAAAAAGGGACTTCCCATCCCATTAACAGCAGGAATGCAAGAAAAACTGGCTGTACCTTAGAAAGAGGCTTACATGAGGGATGGAGGATTTGAAACACAGGTTATGGTTCTCTGAGCAGGCTTTGAGACCACACTCAACATTTTTCTACTGATACAGCAAGAGACTACTCATTCAAACCAGAAGACAATTTGCTGGTGAGGGAGGCTTTCTTTGACAATGCTGGGACTCACATGTTTAGGAGGGGGCAATGTGAAAGCAAGGACTTTCTCCTCTTATAATGGTGAACCTGAGACCCCAAGATGGCCCCAAGATGACAGACAATATATTCAGGAGGATGGGTATTCTGTGATGTGGCTTATGTTCATTTTCTAAGAAGCCACTGCCTCCTGAGAACTGGGTCAACAGCAGTCTGTGACTACTGGCTGGCCTCAAATGGTGTTTAAAAAGCACATGCTATGCCCACCAGGCTAAGAAGTTATCATCTATCACCATGACCCTTGTGAGACTGTACAAGTCAACCAGAGAGACTTGGTGGGGCTTGATGACCTGGACCACTGCGGCCTGCACTTGGGATGTGTTGTAAGCAGCATTACCAAAGCAGTGGTTGAACTTAACTATCTGGGTCAAGAGGAGGTGAGCCAGCCAGCATATCATCCTAATGGGGCAGGGCAACCAGAATTTCCACATAATTGATGGGGAAGAAGCCTGACTGGCCATGAAGCATCCCCTCATACCAGTTCTCATCAATTTGGTTGGTGAGTGTGATGATATCACCCTCTTTGAAACCCAATTCCCCTTCATTTTCAGGTTCAAAGTCGTACAGAGCTCGGCAGCAGGGCTGATCCATTGGGGCACCTGGGAATAAGAGGGAGAGAGAAAAACACAAATGACAGGGTATTTAACACTATAGTATGTACTACCAGTTGCACCCACCTGGCTAGCTGTTCCTCTTCTTTCCTCCCTCTCACTCCTCTTCCTCCTGCAGCTTCCTCTTGCTACTAGGTCCCAAGATCTGCCTTCCATCTAACAGTCTTCAGAAGCTTTCTCAGATTGCCGGCAGTTGTTGGGTATTCCTGTTTCCATTTTCAGGATGAAAAATAACATCTGTCCTCATGCTATGTACAGGAGTTGAGCAAGCTTTCTAACGATACCCAGAAGTGGGAGCCCCAATGGCTTCAGAGTTTATAGTAAAGATTTAGATTAATGATTCTGCATGGTCAGAACCCTTTCATGTTTGCACTTTAAAACATCTGCATGTTTGAAACAATACAGCAATTACATGAAAGATGCTTTGCACCCAAGAATAACAGTTCAGAAGAAATAATCTTCTGAAGAAAGAATCTTTAAAAACTAGCCTACTGTAGGATGACAGTAATCACGGGGGATAAATGGAAATAGGAGCAGGCTACGTATCTTTGAAAGCAATAATCTGTTGAAGAAATAATCATTCCAGGCTCTGGAAAGTGGTTGTAATATAGTGAAAACAAAACAATATAAAACACTAGGTTCAAGTTATTACTGTTTGTGTCCTTGAACAAGACACTTCATCCTCTGTTTTAGGTTCTTTGTCTAAAATTTGCAGTAACAGCAGAACTTACTACAGGACTGTCGAGGCTATTAAATGAGATTTTGTTAAAAATTATATAATTTACACTTGGTAAAAGGTTGCCTGTATGAGGAGTGTAATGGAGCTATGGTTTAAAAAAATAATGCCTAAGGCATTTGACTGCTAACCAGAAGGCTGGCAGTTCAAACCCACTAGCCACTCCTCAGAAGGAAAGTTGGGCAATCTACTTCCATAGAGATATCGCCTCAGAAACCCAAGGAAGGGTTGCTATGAGTCTGGTCTGACTCAATGGCACATAACAACAACAACATTAAAATAATATGAAATCGTACCTTAAAATATTAAGATATATTATTAATATATGATATTAAGTCATAACATATTAAGATATGAAATTCTATCTTAAAAAGAGTTCTATTTATAATGAGGAGTCCCTACATGGTACAAAGCATTAATGTAACTGGCTGTTAACCAAAAGGTTAGAGATTTGCTTTCACTACAGGCACCTAAGAAGAACAGCCTGGTGATGTACTTCTGAAAAATTAGCCCTTGAAAACCCTATGAAGCACAGTTCTACTTTGTCGCACTTGGTAGTCAGAATCAGTCTGATGGAAACTGGATGATTATTGAAAATGATCACTCTGTTAACACAGTATACAGATACATATGTATACAGACTCAGACAAGTATATATAGTTCCCAGGCCATCTAGATGGCTTTGGAAAGAAACAGTGTAAATTTTTTTTTTTTTTTTTGGTGGGTGGGGTGGGGTGGGGCTTAAAGAAAGCAGAAAATTGATACATCTCTACATGAAAAGTAAATATGTTCTTGGTTGCTGGATGGGAGGAACACAGTTATACATAACTTAGGTGACTAGGTTTGCAGCCAGCTGACTTCAAAAAGCCGCTGCTGTTCATGCTGCAGGCTGGATGCTCTGGATGGCCACAGTGAGCACTCAGGACAGACCTCACTTTTCCTCTTCGGAGTCTCCTGAGAGAATCTTTAAAAACCTGCCTACTGTAGGAGGACAGTAAGCACGGGGGATAAATGGAAATAGGAGCAGGCTATGAATCTTTGAAAGCAATACAAAATGGTTTCTACTTCTTCAATCAAGCCAATGTTAAGATTTAAAATATCCGACCATAGGCTTTCCTCTAATTTAGGTGCAGGGGGAGGGGAAGGATGGTTCTTACTGAAAGAACTCATGCTTATGTATGTATCAATATTCATGACAGAAAGTAAATTTTAGCTTTTATTGTATCTACCTCGGTCTCATAGCACAGAGAACCATGGGGTGGTGGTGGAGAGGAGACCTAGCAGGGGTTGAGATTCAAGACATAGTCATCTGCTAACACACATGTTCCTGTGACTCAAAAAATCAGACTCAACACATTCCTGGAGGTGGTGAGCTGGTTGTGTATGAGTATGTTGACACATACGTGCCCAAGGCATGCACTCTCCTGCATGCAGAATTCACTGAGAGCAAAAACAGAAAATATAAAATAGCTCTCCAGACCAAACTGACATGTTAAGGTGATTTACAACCAAAAAGGAGAATTACAATCAAATGTGTTAGGTTGGTGTGTGCTGATGACTGGCTACAAATAGAGTTTGAGAGAGAGAAGAGGGAAACGGGAGGCAAAGAAAAGAGCAATGAGATAAAGAGAAAGGATCCCTTTAAAAGTTTCCATCTCACAAAAGAATCCTGTAAGAAATACATTGCCATATACTTCTTATGCAGCCTGATTGAACTGATCCTAGAACTTCTGGAAAGGAGTCATGGAGTTACAAGCTGACATAGCTTACCTGCAGGTTTGGGAGTGCCTGTGTGGGAGAGGCCACCATTGGGCTGACCAGTGTCCCCAGATTGGAATTCTAGGCTCATTCGTGGTTTAGGCTGATATTCCCGTCTAGGTTGAGATGAAGCTTGTCTTATTCTGCAAAGAAAAGAAAAAGAAAAAAAAAATTACATAGCCAATTAAGGAGTGAAAAGAAAAGCAATTAAATCCAGGAGATCCTTGAGTCACCTGCCAGTCTGCTATTACAGAGTATGGGGATTCTTAGGCATGTATGTCTGTGCTTCTGGTGACATCCTTTTATGATCATACTCTCTTTGACTTCATTCTTTCTCTCAACCCCTCACTTCCTCCATTTATTCAGTGCTCATTATGCAAATATACACTGTGCTAGGTGCCAGGTATGTTGTTGTTGTTGTTGTTGTTGTTATGTGCCGTCGAGTCAACCCCGACTCATAGCGACCCCTCCTTGGGTTTCCGAGGCAGTATCACTACGGAAGTAGGATTGCCCAACCTTCCTTCTGAGGAGTGGCTGGTGGGTTTGAACCGCCAGCCTTCTGGTTAGCAGTCAAGTGCTCTAGCCACTATGCTACCAGAGCTCCTAGGTGCCAGGTATACCATGATGAATAAGACACAATTTTTGCCCTCAAGCAGCTTATGGTCTGCAGGGAAGCGGGAACCTAAACTGATTATGATACATTGAAATAAATGCTGTTGCAGAGACATGTACCAAGTGCTACAGGAACAAAGAGGTGGAGGGGAAGGCCACCTCTCCGTGGGGAAGCTGAAGAACAGATTAAAGAAGGGGTGAAAGCCATGTAAAAGTGGTTTCCAGATGAACATGCAAAGGAAAGCCATTCCATGCAGAGCATGGAGAGAAGTTCTGGAAGGAGAAGGAACCACTATGTGCTCTGAGTACTGAGTAGTGTGAGACACTGGAATGGGGCAATGAACAAGGAAAGACAGGAGGAAGATAGAAAGGTATGACCAAGAAACGTCTTCTGCATACCTCATAAACATATGCCACAGTGTGAGGTTTTCCTTAAGCCAAGTATACAACTGATTTGCAAGGGTGGGGAGAGTTTAGGAATGGTGGCTGTAGAATGTTACTGACTTTGAACTTATTTTCAAGGCTAAAAAAAAAAAAAAAATGGCTGCTTCATGTTCACAAGATGTCACACAGACATATCATCTCTTCAGTATTTTTAAGTGGATGGTGTTAAATCTTTCCAGAGGCTTCAAAGAGCTGCACACATTTCCACAAGGGTGCATGGCATGAAGATTCACAATCAAAGCACTAGTCAAGGAACATGGTGAGAAGACAGAGAGGGTGGCTAGATGAAAGCAGGTAAGGAGGTCTCCAATGGTCCTGCATAACATGATTGGAGCCTTCATTATGCATTTAGCCATCTCATCAGCTGTAAGAGTCTAATGTGGCCCTGATCTGAGAACAAAGGCTGTTCCAATGATCCTTTGATAGATACACGTTTAGCAAAATCATCCTATTTAATCTGGCTCAATATGGCTGTGCAAGTTGAGCCCACACAACTCCATGGAGCCTCATTCACAGAGAAAATGACCATAGCCCCACTGCAGGCTGTATCTGAGGAGGTGGGCCAGGCATATGGAAGTAGCTCTGATGGAGAATTCACCACTACTCAGAGAAACACAGGTGCAAAGAGATTGAGGATTTCAAATCAGATATGCTTGATTATGAATTCCAGTTCCACCACTGTGTAACCCTGGGCTAGTTCCTCAACCTCCCTGAGCCTCAATTTGCTTATCTGTTAAGTAAGGCTAAGGATACTTATCTCATAGGGCTGTTTTAAGGTCTGACATTCAGTAGCCAACCAGAATATCTGCTCAGCAAATCATATCCATTATCATTAGTATCCTGATGTCCCGTCTGTGGCAGGCAAATAGAATTCGAGTATCAACCTCTCATAAACCCAAGACTCAACAGAACAAGCACCAAAAAAACTAAAAACAAAAACAAGACTGACAACCCACAAAGTGCCTGTCTAGGATTAGAAGAAATTTTAGGGAAAGTTTGTCTCCAAATAGAGTCCACAGTTTCCGTTTCTTTACACATCATTGTATGCAGCAAGGCCATGCAAACATAAAATGCAGGAAATTACAAAGTACCTTTCTTCCAGCCGGACAGTGACTTGCTGCAGAATCTGGACTGCTTGCTTGTGGTATTCCAGCTGGGCTTGGACAAGTGCGGAGAGCTGGCTCACCTGTTCAATCTGCAGATTGATGGGGGAAACATGCTCAATGACCAGGTCACTGCCCTTATACAACCACTACTGCCCATTACATAGGGCAGAGCTGCCCCGGACACACAATCCACTGCTTGGAGATGTCACTAACCATGTGGTGAGCCAGGCTGAGGCAGAGTTCTCCAAATTGAGTAAGAATAAGCAAGCGAGTATCCTTATGCTTAGAAACTCCAGTACCATGAGGAGAAGCAACATTATTAAGAATCCTTATGCATATCATGTAACCATCATTAAATAATTTCATGCTTTTGACTAGGCATTGGCTGCTTTTATTGATTTTATATAGGAAGAAGTTGCACTGACCAAAGGGCTTGACTCTTTGCTCCCCACTTCTGTCATCCAAAGTTAATACTGTTATTGTCATTGAGTTGGTCCCTGACTCATGGTCACCTCATGCACAATGAAATAAAATACTGTGAAATGCTGCCCAGTTCTGCATCATCCTCATGTTGTAATGCTCATAGTGTTTATTTTTGTTTTATTTTGTTTTTGCAGATGCAAGTTCAGATTTTTATTTTCTTGCACTGTACTGGAACTTTATATCCATATAGATTGGGGAAGATAACTAGTTGGATTTTGGGAGGAGGCTTTCAATGGCTAATTTTCAGAAGTGTATCACCAGGCCTTTCTTCCTAGTCTGTCACAGAAGCTCGGCTAAAACCCTTTCACCATCATAGCAACATACAAACCACTGACAGATGGATGGTGGCTGTGCATGAGGTATATGAGATGGGAATCAAATCTAGGCCTCCTACATGGAAGGGGAAAATTCTATCAATGAACCACTAAGATAACCCTCTAAGGTAATATCAGTGCCATTAATAAGTTTTTTGTTTTTTTTTTAAAGAGTGAATATTGATTTCTCACACCATGGGAGGGAGAGGATAGGATGGGAAAATCTTGTCTTCACTGAGCCCTGCTGTAATGTATGGAGTTTGGATCAGGTGACATCTTGGGTTATCTCCAGCTCTGATATAATAAATATCATTGGTTACTCTTGATTTTGTGTCACATGCTGTGATCTAGCTGAGTAGTAGCTTCAAAGTTAACAGAGCCAATTCTGTCCCACGAGTTTGAGGGTGGTTAAGCCCCAAGATGTAGGAAAGGAACACTGTAATTCAGGTCACTTCTCATGCATATAGTATTCCTTTTGAGTAGTTAGGTGAAAACAAGATGGTCAATAAATACACATTTACACTCACACATCCACAACCCCAACCATGTCTCTGGGTGATAGGAAAGTCTTGATATGTTTAACATGTCTTGCATACCACCAATGAGTATCAAACCAGTTAAGCAATAGATACATTGTTGTTACTTTGAGGTGCTGTTGAGTCAATTCTGACTAATAGCAACCCTACGTACAACAGAATGAAACACAGCCCAATCCTGTACCATCCTCACAATCGTTGATATGCTTGAGCCCATTGTTGCAGCCACTGGGTCAATCCATTTCACTGAAGGTCTTCCTCTTTCTCACTGACCTATTTTACCAAGTATGACCCTTGTCCAGGTAATGTTCTCTCCTGATAATATGTCCAAAGTGCATAAGACAAAGTGTCACCATCTGTCTAAGGAGCATTCTGGGTATACTTTGTCCAGGACAGGTTAGTTCATTCTGGCAGTCTGTAGTATATTCAACATTTTCTGCTAACACCATAATTCAAACACGTCAATTCTTCTTCAGTCCATATAAACACCTTGGCAGAAACTATTCAGCAACTGATGTGAGAGTAGAGAGGCAGGGATTAGCAAGAATAGGAAAGCTGGTTAGCAGGTCTTCTCATTGCTTCTGTGATTTAAAAACAACCAAAAAACACAGTTGCTGTGGAGTTGACTCCAAAGCAATGGTATCAGAGTAGAACTATGCTCCACAAGTTTTCAAGGGCTGATTTTTCAAAGAAGGATCACCAGGCTTTTCTTCCAAGGCACCTCTGGGTAGAATCAAACCTCCAACCTTTTGGTTAGCAGCCAATCATGTTAACTGTTTGTATGACCCAGGGACTCCATGTGAGTGGAAGGAGAAATCGTCCTTATGGCTTTGAAGCTTAAAGAACTCAAAAGAATGTAACTTCTGAAGTCATAAATAATAATTTAGTTCTGTGGAAATGAGACAGCAGCTTTTGAGCTATCAAATCTATGCACAAAATGTAAGTTGTATGCTATTATAATTAATCTCAATAGAAATTACGTTTTGAAAGATAATGTCAACTTCACTTCAGAATACAGAACACCTTATTCTATGTTGGGTACTCCATTCTGGATGTATTTTAGTTGATATTATCTCACCATCAATCTGTCCTGTATTTCCACAGAGTGCTTATTTAGGCTTTTAGATTTTTACCTGGGTCATCAGAAACATTCTCTAAATTACCATTACTGGTAACATGCTAAGACAGATGCAGAAGAAGGAAGACGCTATCCACTTCTCAAAGAATTGGCCAGGTAAGACCTTATGAATAGCAGTGAAACACTGGCTGATATATTACTGGAAAACTTTATGAATAGCCCTGAGACACTGTCCAATATAGTGCTGGAAAATGAGCCCCTCAGGTCAGAAGGTACTCAAAATATGACCTGGGAAGAGCTGCCTTCTCAGAGGAGTGCCAACCCTAATGATGTGGATAGAGTAAAGCTTTCAGGACCTGCATTTGCTGATGTAGCACAAGTCAAGATGAGAAGAAACAGCTGCAAACATCCACTAATAATCAGAACATGGAATGCACCAAATATGAATCTAGGAAAACTGAAAGTTGTAAAAAATGAAATGGAACACATAAAGACTGATACCCTAGGCATTAGTGAGCTGAAATGGACTGTTTTGGGCCATTCTGAATCAATCATATGACCTACTATACTGTTGTTGTTGTTGTTGTTGTTATGTGCCATTGAGTCAAACCCGACTCATAGAGACCCCTCCTTGGGTTTCCGAGGCAGTATCACTACGGAGTAGAATTGCCCAACCTTCCTTCCGAGGAGTGGCCGGTGGGTTTGAACTGCCAGCCGTCTGGTTAGAAGGCAAGTGTCTTAGCCACTATGCTACCAGAGCTCCCTATACTAGCCTAGGAATGACAAACTGAAGAGGAATGTCATGGCATCCCTCATCACAAAGAAAGTATCAACATCTATCCTGAAGTACAATGGTGTCAGTGACAGGATAATATCCATATGCCTACAAGGAACACTGGGAGCTCTGGTGATGTAGGGGAGCTCTGGTGGTATAGTGCCTAAGGCATGTGACTGCTAACCAGAAGGCTAGTGGTTCAAACCCACCAGCCATTCCTCGGAAGGAAGGTTGGGCAATCTACTTCTATAGTGATACTGTCTTGGAAACCCAAGGAGGGGTTGCTATGAGTCAGATTTGATTTGATGGCAGTAGGTTGGTTTTTGGTTTTACAAGGAACATCAGTTACTACTATTATTCAAATTTATGCATCAACCACCAAAGCCAAAGATAAGGAAATTGAAGATTTTTACCAACTTCTGGAATCTGAAGTTGACCAAACATGCAATCAAGATGTGTTGATTATCAGTGGTGAATGGAATGCAAAAACTGTAGACTAGAATCAATAATGCTGGGGATCACATGATACAATTTTGCAAGACCAATGACTTATTCATTGCAAATACTTCTTTCAACAACACAAACGGCGGCTATACATGTGGACTTCACCAGATGGAGTACACAAGAACCAGATAGACTACATCTGTGGAAAGATGCAATGGATAAGCACAATATCTTCAGCCAAACAAGGCCAGGAGCTGATTGTGAAACAGACCATCAACTGCTCAAATGCAAGTTCAATTTGAAGCTGAAGACAATTAAAACAAGTCCATGAGAACCAAAATATGACCTTGCTTATATCTCTCCTGAATTTAGAGACCATCTAAAGAATAGATTTGATGCACTGAACACCAATGACCAAAACCAGAGGAATTGTGGGATAATATCAAGAACATAATCCATGAAGAAAGCAAAAGGTCATTAAAAAGAAAGAAAGGGAAGAAAAGACCAAAATGGATGTCAGAAGAGACTCTGAAACTTGCCCTTGAACAGAGAGTAGCTAAAGCAAATGGAAGAAATGACAAGATAAAAGAGCTGAACGAAAAAGATTTCAAAGAGCAACTCAAGAAGACAAAGTCAATTATAATGAAATGTGCAAAGATCTGGAGTTAGAAAACCAAAATGGAAGGATATGCTTAGCATTTCTCAAGATGAAAGAACTGAAGAAAAAACTCCAGCCTTGAGTAAAATACTGAAAGATTCTATGGGCAATATATTGAATGATGCAAGAAATATCAAAAGAAGATGGAAGGAATATATAGAATCACTGATCAAAAAGAATTGGTTGCTGTTCATTCATTTCAGGAGGTGGCGTATGATCAAGAACCAATGGTACTGAAGGAAGAAGTCAAAGCTGCACTGAAGGAATGAGTGAAAAGCAAGCCTCCAGGAACCGACGGAATACCCATTGAGATATTTCAACAAATGAATGCCGCGCTGGAGGCATTTACTTGTTTATGCCAAGAGATTTGGAAGACAGTTACCAGGCCAACTGACTGAAAAAGATCCATATTTGTACCCATTCCAAAGAAAGGTGATCCCATAGAATGTGGAAATTATTGAACAGTATCATTACTATCACATGCAAGTAAAATCTTACTGAAGATAATTCAAAAACGGTTGCAGTAGTATATTGACAGAGAACTTCCAGAAAAGCAAGCTGGATTCAGAAGAGGACGTGGAATGAGGGATATCATTGCTGATGTCAGATGGATCTTGGCTGAAAGCAAAGAATACCAGAAAGATGTTTACTTGTGTTTTACTGGCTTCGCAAGAGCATTTGATGTGTGGATCATAACAAATTATGGATAACATTGAGAAGAAGGGGAATTCCAGAACACTTAATTGTACTCATGAGGAACCTGTACAGAGACCAGGAGGCTGTCATTCAAACAGAACAAGGGATCTGCATGGTTTAAAATCAAGAAGGGAGTGTGTCAGGGTTGCATCCTTTCACCATATTCATTCAGTCTGTAGGGGGCTCTGGTAGCATAGTGCCTAAGGCACTTGACTGCTAACCAGGAGGCTCATGGTTCAAACCCACCAGCCACTCCTTGGAAGGAAGGTTGGGCAATTCACTTCTGTAGTGATACTGCCTCGGAAACCCAAGAAGGGGTCGCTATGAGTCGGGTCCGACTCGACAGCACATAACAACAACAACAACATTCAGTCTGTATGGTGAGCAAATAATCCAAGAAGCTGTACTATATAAAGAAGAACGTGGCATCAGGATTGGAGGAAGACTCATTAACAACCTGTAATACAGACAATACAACTTTGCCTGCTGAAAGTGAGGATGACTTGAAGTGCTTACTGATGAAGACAGAAGACTACAGTCTGCAGTATGGATTACACCTCAATATAAAGAAAATAAAAATCCTTACAACTGGACCAATAAGCAGCAACACAATAAATGGAGGAAAGATGGAAGTTGTCAAAGCTTCATATTACTTGGTTCTACAATCAACACCAATGAAAGCAACTGTCAAGACATCAGAGGTCATACTGCACTGGGCAAATCTGCTCTGAAAGACCTCTTTCAAGTGATGAAGATCAAAGAGTCTCCCTGAAGACTAAGGTGCACCCCAAGCCATAGTATTTTCAATTGTCTCATATGCATGTGAAAGCTGGACAATGAGTAAGAAAGACTGAAGAAGAGTTGATGCTTTTGAGATGTGGTCTTGGTAAGAATACTAAATACCACTGACTGCTAAAAGAACTAACAAATCTGTCCTGGACGAAGTGTATCCATAATGCTCCTTGGAAGTAAGAACGACCAGACTTTGTCTCACTTACTTTGGTCATGTTGCCAGAAAGGACTATTCCCTGGAGAAGGATTTCATGCTTGGTAAAGTGGAGGGTCAACAAAAAAGGGAAGGGTCACCTCAATGAGGTGGATTGACACAGTAGCTGCAACTATGGGCTCAGATATAGCAAGGATCATGAGGCTGGTGCAAGACTCCTACTAAGTGTTTAGTTCTGCTCTACATAAGGTTGCTATGAGTCGGAGATGACTCAACAGCACTTAACAATAATAACAACAACAACAACAACTGTTAACAATTCTTTAAGATCTATTAGTGGACAAAAATCTAGTTCAATCAAACTATAGGAATGCAGAAAAGACTACTATTTTTTTTAATCTACTTTATCATCTCAAGTAATTTAAAACAAACAACTGCTACTGAAGTTCTCATCATACAGTGTAATCAGATAGTAGCATTTTTAATTATATCACCCTTTAACCATTAATCCTCTGTCTGAAATGGCAAGATTTAATTAGAAACCACAGGAGAGTCACTTACATCCATCTCTAGGAGATTGAACATGCTTGACTCAGCAATCTCTTTAGACTCATCAAATTTCTCCAAAGCTTGACGGAGCTCTTCATCTGGAATCTTGCCTTGTCGTTTCTTCTTATAATCAAAGTCCAGGCGTCGACCCTCCAACTTCTTCAGATGATGCTGAAAAAGTCAAGGCCAGAAATAAGTTTTGAAAGGATATGTAGAGAGAAGGCCTTTTGCAGCTCCCTGCCTATCATGCTTATTAGTTCCCAAAATAAGATGCGCTAAGTTTAAGATATAATGTCATCAGAGAAATAAGGCTATGCATTAGTGGGACAAACACATCCAAAGGCTAAAAATATTTAAAGAATGGTAATTAAGTTGTGCAAATACCAGTGCTCTTCACTTACTGGCCTTGCTAGGCCAAAGCCAAGCTGGAATATAACTCCCATTCTCTAACAGAAATGGGAAATGTGTACACACTGTACATATGTAGAGAGGACACATGCACAGGAGCTCAAGGTCTCTATCTTCAAAAGAAATGGTACCTTATGAGAAGGAAGCTCACAAGAAGGCAGATGGAAAATATTTTCCACAAAATACAGTAAGAAAGAATGGCATTTTTCCTTTTAGAATCATAGAACGTGAGTATTGGAAAGGACCTCTCTTTGAGGTAATTCAATGTGTCAAACTTGCTTTTAAAAATATGATTCCTGGAGTTCTGGTAACATGGCGGACTAGGGAGAAAGACTGCACAGACCCTTTTCAACAAAGAAAAGGGAAGCCAATTAACACAGACACAGAAGATAATCCTGGAAACCTGAACCTTGAAGGGAAGGATATAGAGGTAGACTACACCCCAAGTAGCAGAAGAATTTGCATGAAAAATACCAAAAAAGGAGACAGATGGAGCTGCAGTCTGGCAGCGATCCTGGGCAATCCTGACGGCACGGCACAGACAGCTTGGAGATTCCTGAGTGGTGGTAGGATCTAAGAATTAACCTAAAAATCAGCCCTGCTAGCCAGGGACTGCACGGAGGACGGCTCTGGTGGCTAGGGAATAAACAGAGAAGGTGAAGAGAAAAGCGGGCTGAGTTGTGGACTTTTGCCAGTCCGGAGG